ATCGGAATACAAAGTTATGATAAAAATACTGAAAGAAGGTGCAGTTGCTTGTTTAAAACAAGAAATTCCGTTACATAATCCGTTAAAACAACAAATTCCGTTAGTTTTTCCGTTAAAAACAAGAAATTCTGTTACATACCCACTTTTAATATATAGAAGATTTGATAAATGGATGGTTGAGATGAAGAGAGAGAAAAAATTAATGTAATGGAATGTGATATAATGGGGGGCAAACAAGGGCTTATTATTTAAATAGCACTATTTCTCAACTTTGAAAAACAACAAATTAGTCCTTAAACTGTCCAAATCTTCTTTAAATAGCCATATAACCATTGTAAAAATATGTACATCACTTAAATTTTTTAGGTAAATGCCCCAAGTTGAGAGTTGAGATAGGAACTATCTTTATAAGGTTGGACGTGTAAGATTTATGTAATGATTTAATAAAAATTTAGATTGGTTTATTACTTTACGTTAATAAAGACCCATTGTACCTCCATAGGAAAATACATAGACCAATTTACTTCTTTTGAAGAGTTTGGTTAAAATTATTTATTAAATTTGACTTATATAAAATTTTAATTTTAATTTCTATCGTGGACTTTGTTATAAATCATTGGGATATTACAAGGTTTATATAATTAGGTAAAATTATGGTCAAAGTCTATTAACAATTTCCATTCACTTGGAATTTAGATGCAAGTTTTTGAAAAGTTTGATATCTTAGTTGCAATAAAGTAAAGGTTTGGATCAACTCATGTTTGACATCGCGCTGCAATTTTCCCTTTTATTTACATCTCCCCGGAAGATCCTCTCGTGTGGCTCCCAAATTCCCAATCCTCCTCCCCTTCTTCCTCTCTCTCTTTGGGTGTGTTCTTGACTTCTTGTGCGCGCATGTCTCGGTTTCCCTCCAAGAATAAATTTTTATTGCTATAAAAAGAAAACTCACTTCTTAAACCCATACACTAACAGCCCTAAAGATGCAGCCTTCGACTGTGACTCAAGAAACCACAAATCCCTTTGGCTTAGTATCCCAATTGGGCTCTTTTCTAGTCAATTATTCTAAGCTTAATCCTGATGGGCAATCGGTATTCTCATCTAATTCCTTGTATTTTGATGCCAAGAAGAGGCCAAAGGCTGTGACTTCATTGGGTTTGAGCACCAAAGGTGCTTCCTTTAGCATTAGAAGAGCCTTGAATCAATTCAACAAAGCTATTAAATTCCACTGTGAGAAATTCCCACTTAGTTTCGCCTCGGTTCGGGTTAATTCAGGTGTGAATAACGGGTTTAGAGATGATGGAAATGGTGTTTTGGAGGAATCAGACGGAGTGCCTATGAATGTCGTCGACTCTGAAACTCCGAAAAAAGTTTTGATTTTGATGAGTGATACTGGTGGGGGTCACAGAGCGTCTGCTGAAGCCATCAAGGCTGCTTTTAGTGAAGAGTTTGGAGATAATTATCAGGTCAGTCTTTGATGGATTTGAATAACTTTTGTTGTTCATTTATTCTGTGTATGTTTGATTTGAAAAAGAAGAGTTTAGTGGGTATACTTAGGCTGTAGCACAGTACAATCAATAAAATATAAATACAAGCGTGAGGTATGGTGTTTAATACAAAGTTTAAATAAGTAAATTTGTCTCCTAAATTTTTAGACGGGATGGTTCAGTAGAATATTGAGCTCCAATCACACCAAGAAACCAGGCTCAGTTAACTTTCAATCGAACACCACAATTGCAACCCAATCCTAAACCAACACAAAACCCCCAAACGGTAGCTCTACAGGCTGCCCCCGAAGGATTGAATGTGAATACTATTGGGAGCCAAATATCAGCCACTAAGGCAAAGAGAAAGGTAGAAGAATAGGCACAAATCCAAGGTATGAAGCACAAAGCCAATGCACTCGTTTTTCTCTCAAAAACGGCTGCCCAACACTTTCACACTAATAGCAACAGTGATGGAGCAATGGGTATATGGGGAAAATAGGTATGGGCTTTATGTTAGAAAAGATAGAGCCCAATAAGAAATATATAAGTGGGCTAACAATCGAAAAAGCCATCAAAGTTTTGGGTTGGGCCATGAGCAGCGCTAATAGGCTGCTTCAAATGGCTCAAGTGGATTACTAGATAGTTTAGACAATTGTGGTGTCGACATTTCACTTCACTCATCAGTCGAGGCTATGAAGTATAATCCAACTATAACGCCTGGATTTATTGGGTATCAAAAACCCAACAAATCTCCACCTTGATTCTCAATAAATC